ATAAAAAGGTGTAGATAAATGTACCAAAAATTTTGAAGTGCCACTCTTCTTACACAAACATTTTTTTTCAAATTAATATATTTAATAGACCTGAAGTATGAAAAAAAAGTGAGAATCAATTAAGATTTGAAGACCTTTTTAAGTTTTCAATGATAGTTTTTATATTTTTAGTATTAACACTATAACTTCTGTTGTATTGTTTTTGCATAAAACCCATTTGAAAAAATAAGACTGACATGAATGTTTTCTAAAATATATTTTAAGTGACTCTGAAGAATGACAAAAAAAATATTTAATAAAATTGAGTGTCTCTGATGCACTGAACAAACAGTTCTGATCAGGTGGTATGCTGGTTCTTAGAACATTCATATATCTGACATTATGGCAAAAGAATAGGTATAATGTCCTTTGTTACTGCTTTGCCATATAGACCATTGAAAACTTTGTTATTATCTTGTATATTACATATGTAAATTGAGTTCTGAGAAATTGTTCTATGTGGCACTGTCCCTTGGCACCAGACCCATGGCTTGCAGACATACTGTGGCAGCCATAGCTTTGGCTGCTTTCTTATTGTTACATGCCACTGATGGCTGGTACTCTGTGTTATTAACTTTCACCTGCAGTAAAAAAAAATTCCCATTTAAATACTAGCTATAAATTACTTCATCTTATATTGTTTAAAAAATACAGAAGCTTTCTCATTGGAATAATATAAATTCCTAACTATTGAATAAAACGTTTTAATATTGTTATTTGGTACATTTATTAAAACAGAAAGTGGTAAATTGTTTCATACTTTGAACAGGAAATTCTTTTTGTGAGATGGTCCTTCTTCAAAAACGAGCTGAAAGTTTGGTGATCCCCATCTTCTTTTATTACACAGTTCAACCAGTGCAGACACAGGATGTTTACCTAGACATCAAAATACAGCAATATTATTTAAGTCACAAAGGAAGTGTCAGCATCAAGAAATACATTTGCTCCCTCATTTAGAAATTCTTATTAAAGTGAGTTGAATCAAATTATATTTATATATATTATTTCTATGTATTTATCAACAATTTAAATTTGAAAAAAAAAAACAAACAAACAAACAAACTTTTCCACTGTTTAGACAAAATGTTTTTTTTTAAACTTACCAGATAAATCTTTTGGCATTTTTGCCACAGGTGCTTTCTTGGGTCCTTCTCCTTCTCCATACAATCCTGAAATAGTTCATATGTGAAACTGTAAGCAGTCTGAATTTTATGCTCTAAATTAATACCATTCTATTCACTGCTACAACAAATGAACTGCATACTAAGGCTTTTGTTGGAGTCCTTTTTGGACTAAACAAAATAGCTACTAATAGATATCATTGTTAAAATTTCCACTAGTTCTAAGGGGCTTGTAATTCTCCAGGATTGCCACATGATATTACATGGACAAAAGAGCATATATAACATAAATTATGGTACCTTTAAGTATATATATCCACAATACAGACCACTTCTTTATGCTGCAATACACAAAATATTAGATGATTATAAGCTTACCTTTTCTGTCCATTTTGACGTCCAACATAAGAGGTTCACTGGGACCTTCATTATTCTTCCCTAGGCCCTCTCCAGGCTTCCAGCCCATCTTCCGTAGTAATAGCATCCCTACCCCACCCTGTAGTGGAAGGGCATTCACCAGCTGGTTCTACAATATACACATTAACTCAATGCCAGGTTAAATGTTTTCTTCTTGTCTTTTTTATAGGTGTTCATTTTTTCATTATGCATTAGATTAATGACATCTGTACTTTACAAAGAATAAATTGTAACAACTCTTAACATTTACAAAAACATAATACTTGTATTATGACATGTTTTTATGTGTAGTGTGAAAGGAAAGGACTGGATGTTGAATATGGTGGAACATTTAAAATACAATCTCTTGAATAGTTGTGTCAAATTAAACAATTTACAAATGTAATTTTTGTTAACAGCACAACTGAAAAAAAAAAAAAACAACAACAAAATATCATGCTATGTTTATTAAAAAAAATACGCTTTAGGCAGAATACAAAGATCTGGCAATAAGACAAATTTTAGTACTGATTAGAATCTTTTACAAAGCTGTTATTCCACATAAAGATAACTTTTAACCAAAATACTACTTTTGGGTAATTTGATTTTCAAAACTGTCCTTTTGTCATACAATCAAGAAAATTTCAGGGTCATTTTCAGCATTTTGTTAACTAAATCACCTCAGTCACGACTCTCATCACAGAAACACCGAGAAGTCAGAACCTTGATAAAATGTTTCAAAGTGCTGTTTCCTATTGGATGGTTTCTGTAATGAGAACTTACCCACACTTGACAGGAAGTAGCAAAACAGTAGTCTTAGGTCTCCCAGGTCGTGAGCATATGTAAGATTACACTGGCACAAACAGTTGTGTCTGTATAGCTGGCAGGTAACAAGTGATCCTACAACAAGCTTTCAATGCACTCATTTCACATATAACTGGCTGTAAAATGTTTGAGCCAAATACATGTGGAAACAGTGCAAGACCATTTTCTGGTGAAACTGAATCTGGCCACATAAAACAAGATCACCAAGTTGAAGGTATGAACTCATTGTTTTCTAACATATTTTATGTCTTCTTTCTAAAATGAAACTTAAACGGGTTTTA